TATATATATATATATATACACACACACACACACACACACACATATATGTATATATAAAAATTATATATACATATATGTATATATAATATATAATTTATATATATTTATAATATAATTTTATTTTACCTACAATATATAATATATATATTTATAATATATAATTTATATATTTTATATATATAATAATTTATAAATTTGTGAATAATTTGTTTAATTACAGTTGAAAAAAATAAAGTCTGTACTTTTTTCTTTTTTTTTTCTTTTTTTGTTTTTGAGACGGAGTTTCGTTCTTGTTACCCAGGCTGGAGTGCAATGGCACGGTCTCGGCTCACTGCAACCTCTGCCTCCCGGGTTCAGGCAATTCTCCTGCCTCAACCTCCTGAGTTGCTGGGATTACAGGCACGCGCCTGTAATCTGACACCGTGCCCAGCTAATTTTTTGTAGTTTTAGTAGAGACGGGGTTTCACTATGTTGACCAGGATGGTCCCGATCTCTTGACCTCGTGATCCACCTGCCTCGGCCTCCCAAAGTGCTGGGATTACAGGTGTAAGCCACCGCGCCTGGCTGTACTTTTTTCTTTATTAGTAAGAGTTAGTCACAGGTTCGTTGTAACTGGCTAGATTTATTATTTCACTATATATCTATATATCAATATAAAATCACAATTTTATATTGATACTAATATAGACACAAATATATCTTGGTGTGGAAATTTAGAAGGAAAAAAAAACACCATAGAGGGACTGTGGGGTCAAACTGATATGAGTTCAAATACTGATTCCTCTACATACTGATTTTGACTGTTAATTGTTAGTGTTTTTGTTTTGTTTTAAATTATATTTTCTTAAGTTTTTAAAGTAGGGATAGGGTCTTACCATGTTGCCCAGGCTGGTTTCAAACTCTTGTGCTCAAGTGATCCACCTGCCTCAGCCTCCCAAAGTGCTGGGATTACAAGCTTGAGCCACTGCACCAGCCTTTTAGTGTTTTTTTTTTTTTTTTTTTTGGAGACGGAGTTTCGCTCTTGTTACCCAGGCTGGAGTGCAATGGCGCAATCTCGGGTCACCGCAACCTCGGCCTCCTGGGTTCAGGCAATTCTCCTGCCTCAGCCTCCTGAGTAGCTGGGATTACAGGCACACGCCACCATGCCCAGCTAATGTTTTGTATTTTTAGTAGAGACGGGGTTTCACCATGTTGACCAGGATGGTCTCGATCTCTTGACCTCGTGATCCACCCGCCTCGGCCTCCCAAAGTGCTGGGATTACAAGCGTGAGCCACCGCGCCCGGCCCTTTTAGTGTTTTTTAAATTTTCTGATGCCTAAGGAAAGTGATGTTACTTCTCTAGACCTGAGTTGCCACTTACACAATGAGGGTGGTAAATATACCTGCCTTGCAGAATTGTTGAGAGGATTTAGTGAAATAATACATATAAAGTACATGGTCCAATGGTTACTCAAAGTAACCACTCAGTGAAAGCTCGTTTCTCTCTTCCTTTAAATATGTAAATGTCAGATTTTACCTTTAATTTAATGCCATTCTCTTCCACTCTCTCAGATAGTTATGACCAGAGTGCATTACAGGCGGTTCAGCTGGAAGATGGCACCACAGCTTATATCCACCACGCAGTGCAAGTCCCACAGTCTGACACCATCTTGGCAATTCAGGCAGATGGGACAGTAGCAGGTCTGCACACTGGGGATGCTACAATTGACCCTGACACCATCAGTGCTTTGGAACAGTATGCAGCAAAGGTATAGCATTTCACAGTGTCAAGAATGTCCCAGATATGGCTTCTTTATTTTTCACGAAAAGAAAAGAAAACAAAAAAGTACACCATCAAAAAAAAAAAAAAAAAAAAAAGGTCAGTTTTAGCCAGGCATGGCACAGTGGCTCATGCCTATAATCCCAGCACTTTGGGAGGATTGTTTGAGCACAGACCCCTGTCTCAATTTCAAAAATTAAAAAAAGAAAGAGAAACTAGCAATTCAAAGTCAAAATCAGTATCCAAAGAGATAATCATTTATCTTAAAGTAAGTTAAGTATAGAAAGAAATATTGGAAAAAAAAATAAGGGAATGGGTTGAGGTAAAGGCTTATGGAAGAGAAATGAGTCGCTGGTAATTCACCAAAAGATACACAAGGATGAAGGGCTATAAAAGAAGTAATCAAGTATAAATGAAACTGCTTATGAGTTAAAAAGTGGGAACTATAGGCCGGGCGTGGTGGCTCATGCCTGTAATCCTAGCACTTTGGGAGGCTGAGGTGGGTGGATCAACTGAGGTCAGGAGTTCAAGAGCAGCCTGGCCATCATGGTGAAACTCCATCTTTATATTAAAAAAAATATTTTAAAAATTTAAAAAGTGGGAACTGTAGGAAAAGTGAAGGAAAGTCTCAATTAAGTTTTATATCAAAAGGGTTAATTTTTTTTCCCCTGCATCGAACATGTATCTCTCATATAACTTTTTTTTTTTTTTTTT